GCATTGCTTGATTGAATTCCCAACAAAAATGATGATTTTCGCAATAAAAGATATAAATAGGGGTGAAAATGTAAGATGAGAACATTTTGCACGATGAATTTGGTAAATTTGGTGCATTTGATTTGATTTGTACTTGAGTACATCTTGCTTACATATTGTTCAAATCGACGACTAGGATTGGAGCACGAAGGTCTCTTTAACACATCCATTTTTCTTCTCATCAAGAGTTATATCGCAAGTACCTGTCATGCATGATGTCCATCATCACAGTTGCCTTTGTATCATGAAGGCAGATCCTATAGCAACAATTTCTGAAAACCCAATCTTCCATGAATGACCATATTCATGGCTCTATACATAAATAATAATAAAATTCAAATTGCAATTTTACATTCTAAAAATTAATAGATTCTCCTCCGCGTAAACTTGCAATTTTACATGCTAAAAATTCACATATTCTCCTCTGCGTAATAAAAAGATTAGGGTAAATAACACAGAACGTCCCTACCTTTCAATGTTATTATGCAAAATGTCTCTACCTTTCATTTTTTGGTATTTTCACCACTACATTCCACCTTTCATTGCGCAAAATGTCATTTTCAACCATTTTCCAATAAAATGACGATTTTATCCTTCTATTCAAATGAAACAAAAAGAAAAGAAAAGAAAAAATAAACAACTAATTGCAATCATAGTCCTAAATTTTTCAAAATATTACAGATAAGTTCTAAATTCTCTACCACCACCACTTTCACAACCCCACCAACCGCCACTTATAGATCCACATAGCCACCTTCGGGCCACCACGCCAGCGAGACTCCACCACCACTAGACTCGCTTCACTCTCCCCAACATCCTCTCCCACAATATTGGTCACAAAATTTGTCGAAAACAACCACTTTTTCAGTCTAAAATACCAAACTGGCATTTACAACCCTTCACGGCAACCCCACTTTCGGCGCCACCCACGATCGCGCACCACCACCAACGGTTACCCCTCACCTCGACGAACCTATACATGGCCTCACATCAATCAAACTCGCCTCAAATCATTCTACAGTAATCTGGACATTCGACAGTGGCGACGTCCATTTCACCTAACTCTTCACCTTTAATCTGTGCATTCCACAATACTAAATCTCCAAATTGGCATCAATCGAATCATCAACAAACTCAAACGACAATGGGTATAAATCTAATTAAACCAGTTATCCCTCCAACCATTTCAATTTCTGGTCCAAAACTCTCCAAGGGCGCGATGTACGGAGAGAGCTGTCTTACCAATATCGGTGCGTCCTTAAGTGCTCCAATCTTCAAATTCGTATGGGAAAGGACGGTGGGGGAGTGAAATGAGGTTGGTGGTGGTGGAGTCCGGTGGGCGTGGTAGCTGAAAGGTGGTGCTATGTGGATCTGTAGGTAGCAGCTTGGTAGGTTGTGAAAGTTGTGATGATGGAGAATTTATGATTTCTTTGTAATTTTTTTTAAAACTTAAGAACTATAATTGCAGTTGGTTATTCATCTTTTTCTTTTTCTTTTATTTGAATTGGAGGGTAAAATCGTCATTTTACTGGAAAATGGTTGAAAATGACCTTTTGCGCAATGAAATGTGGAAGATATGGGTGAAAATGCTAAAAATGAAAGGTAATAACGTTTTGTACAATGCCATTGAAAGGTATGGATGTTCTGTGCTATTTACCCAAAAGTTTATTCACATTTTGCAAAACCTTTTACTTCTACCCTACAATTTTTCAATGTCAAAGTTTGGCGTACATTGTTCCTTGATTCTTATGTAATAAAGGTACTTCTATAGGAGTGAAAATTTGTTATATAGGAGACTCAAGAAAAAAAGTTTTTTTTTTCCTTTCACAATTCCTGACAACATAAATAATAAATTCATCAAGTTCGAATAATTGTAAATCTTATTTATTTTAATTTGCATGAATAAAATATTACAATTTACATCCTAACATCACATAACCAACTCAAAAAAAAAAAAAAAAACGAATGCAATAAGTGTCTATGCTTGCTTCTCTTTTCATAACTTTATTTTCACCATCTCAAATTTCCTCCACTATTGAAAATAAAAGCAGCAGAAGCAATAATTCCTTCTTAGAAACTTAAAAAAAGCCAATAAGCATTCAAGAATACCCGAGCCACTCTCTGTTCTATTTTTACGAGGGAATAGGACTGCAAGAAAGAGTTCATTCATCAAGCCACTTTGCCCTTTCCTCCAAGTCTTAATATTTTAATACCCTCAACTATCCACCCCCAGCAATAAAGCTAGACAAAATATGTCATCCTTCTTCACTTCCATTGATCTCTTCGCCATGTTTTTCATCCTTCTTTCAACATTTCTTGCATTACTGATGGAAAATTTTCAGAATAATACATAGGCTACAAAACATTTTGATAAGATTACACATCTCCATTTCTACTTCCATGATATAGCGGGTGGGAAACATCCAACTGCCATATTAGTTTCCGGTTGAAGAAATTTGTTTGGCAGCACCGCGATGATAGACAACCTTCTTCTGATTGAAGGGCCTGAGCATGGCTCTAACCTTGTCGAAAGAGCTCAGGGAATGTATGCCATGGCTTCTCAATATGATGGAAGTCTACTTATGGTTGTGTATTTTGTATTCAATGAGGGTAAGTTTAATGGAAGTTCGGTTATCATTCTAGGGAGGAATCCGGTGCTTAATGCAGTGAGGGAAATGCCGGTATCGGGAGGCAGTGGGATTTTCCGATTTTCTCGTGGCTATGGACCGGCAAAGACATACAGGAATAATATCAAATCAGGGGATCCTGTGTTTGTGTACAATGCGTATGTAATGCATCATTGAAATGTTCTGTCTTATAATATGAATAACTTCTACTTGAATGATTCAGTGTTTCTATAAAAATTTTCCCCATTTTAATCATTTTCATACTACTAGCTTTGGCCCGTGCGATGCACGAATTCTGTTATTTTTAAGGTAATGTCAGCGTAGAATGTGAAGGACTAAAAGGAGATGTGTGCATTGTACCTTCACACAAAAG